TGGGCTAAAGCAAGCATCAAGAAGTTTGAATATTCATTTTGATGAGGTCGTTAGGAGTAACGGTTTCATCAAGAACGAGGATGAACCTTGTGTTTACAGGAAGGTTAGTGGGAGTAATGTTGTCTTCCTAGTGCTTTATGTAGATGACATATTGCTTATAGGAAATGACATCCCCATATTACAAACAACGAAAGAGTGGCTTTCAGAAAGCTTCACCATGAAGGATTTGGGAGAGGCGGCCTTTATACTTGGTATAAAGATCTATAGAGATAGATCAAACAGGCTGCTGGGTTTATCTCAATCCACGTACATTGACAAGATGCTAAAGAAGTTTAGCATGGAAGGGTCGAAAAGGGGTTTTCTACCTGTCAGTCATGTGATACATCTTTCAAAGGCTATGTGTCCTAAGTCACAGCCTGAGAAGGATCGCATGAGTGGAATACCATACGCTTCGGCTATTGGGTCCATCATGTATGCCATGATATGTACGAGACCAGATGTCTCATATGCTTTAAGAATTACGAGCAGATACCAGCCTGACCCTGGAGAAGGTCACTGGACGGCAGTCAAGACAATCCTTAAGTACTTAAGAAGAACTAAGGATGTGATTCTGGTCTATGGTGGGGTTGATGAGCTAACAGTGAAAGGGTTCACTGATGCCAGCTTTTAGAGTGACAAAGATGACTGCAAGTCACAGTCAGGGTTCGTATTCACCTTAAATGGTGGGGCAGTATCTTGGAAGAGTTCCAAGCAGGAGACAACAGCAGATTCAACGACAGAAGCTGAATATATAGCTGCTTCAGAAGCGGCTAAGGAGACCGTGTGGATCAAGAAGTTCATATCTGAACTTAGGGTGGTTCCAAGCGTGGATAAGCCCATACAGTTGCTGTGCGACAACACTGGAGCCATTGCGCAGTCAAAGGAACCTAGGTCTCATCAAAGATCTAAGCACGTGCTCCGCAGATATCACCTGATTAGAGAAATCATTGATAGAATTGATGTAAAGATGGATTATGTTCCCACAGATGATAACCTGGTCGACTCTCTGACAAAGGTTGTTTCTCAGAGAAAACATGATAGTCATTATGAGGCTTTGGGTATACGACTTAGGTCTGATTGGCTCTAGGCCAAGTGGGAGCTTGTTAGTATTTGGGTGTCCTAGAGACAATCTTATGATTAAATAAGGACATAGATGTAGACCTTTTTAATATTGTCGAAAATAAATAAAAGCACTCTTTATCTTGTTTCATAATTCTGTCTCGATATTAATGTTAATATATTATGAATAACTTGATAAACCCCGTGGAATAAAATAGGTATCTCTTGAGTATCTGTGATGAGATCACAATCATGAGGATTCAAGAATACCAGATGTTTATTCCTAATTATATGTTCCTAGTCTAGAGATGCTGAGAATGGGGTCAGTGATCTCGGGTAAGACTAGCACGACTTATCTACTTGTATATGGATACAAGGTATAGACCTCATGTGCTACAGATATGGAGATGTCTTAGCTAAAGTCGTGGGTGGACCTATAAGGGTATAGCTCGCACTGAACAGACCCACAAAGAGACTCTATGAGGAACTCTCACAGAGAGTATCATTAGAGTAGTCTCTTTATATTTGGGTATGTCTTTCCTAAGACTAGAAGTTATTACCTAGATTGTGTTCTAGAAGGCATGCTTTGATTGTGCACCTCGTCTGCCTGAAACATGGAGACTCATAGGTATACTGTTGGGCTTGTCCTGAAAGAACACAGGGCTAGGGTGATAAGCTGAAGGAATTCGTCAAATCTCTGTGAGAGATTAGGTTATCTGTAAACCGGAGAAATCGGGATGACATTTACAGGGACTCGGGAATCTATGCATAGTAAAAGAGATCATGAGATGATCTACCTTTAGAGTCTGTAAATTGAAGATTCCCTATTTCGAATAAAGCTTACCCTAAACCGCAGGGGTTGATACGCTTCCTTACCCTAGGTTTTATGGGAAGGTAACCGAGACGAAAGGAAATATATACGGCAATCAAATATGTGTAATAGGATGATCAAGTAACTAATCTAACTAGTTCTGGGGCAGCAAAGCATTGCTAGTGCTATGTGTTGTCATTGGATGGGTTGTGGGCTTATTGGGCCCAAGCCCATTTATGTCAGTGGCTATGTTGGACCTAATGGGTCACACACTAACACCTAATTGTCTAGATGCTCTAGCATTAATGGTATTGGGCCTAACAATTGTTATTAGCCCAAGAAGTAGTTTGGAACTCCACAGATAGGGTGGAGGGCGCATGGATCTAAGTAATGGGCTTGGATAGTCCAAGACATTACTAATTAATTTAATTAGTTAAATTAATTATCAAATGTTTAAATTTTGAATTTTGAATTTGAAATTTGAATTTTGAATTTGAATTTTGAAATTCGAATTTTGAATTTTGAATTTGAAATTTGAATTTTGAATTTTAAAATTTGAATTTAGAATTTGAATTTTGAATTTTGAAATTTGAATTTGAATTTAAAATTTAAGTGTTTGAAAGTTTGAATTCAAATGTTTGAAATTCGAATTTGAATTGGCTATGAAAAGTTGTTTCATAACAAAAGGATAAGATGAGATCTTGTTGGAACATATCAAGAGGAAATCTTTTGGACATAATCTAAGAAGATTTAGGGTGCTGATTTGGCTGTTGGTTAGTTATCAGAATCAGCTCCAGAAGATACGATCTGTTGGGAGAATATTTGAGTGATTTGATTCAAGTTTGAATGCAACTACTCAAATATCTGGTCTTTATTTAGGCTATATGGGGCGCACCATATAACTGATTATATGATGATTTATGATCAGATATTTGTTTAGGTTTTGAACCTAATATATCATAAAGATATGTTAGGATGTTGTTGGCAAGATTTGATGAGATTTGATTTGCAACATATCCTATTCTCTCTCTCTTTGATGGAGCGCCCTTTTGGAAGGGATTTTTATTGATTAAAAATCTGATTTGTTTTTTAACAAATAGGCTCCTCTTGTGCGCCTCTCTCTCTCTCTCTCTCTCTATATATATATATATATATATATGTTCCTTCTAGGGTTTTTAAAAAACCAAGTCATTCTCTTCTCCTCTCCTACGCCACTTTTGTGAAGTTTTCACATTGAAAGCTTCACTCTTTCAAATACTTTTACCCAGCCTTTCTCTTCACATGCGCTTAGCAAGCCTCATTGTAGTGATCACTTGGCGGTTTCACAAGAAGGAGTTCTTGCACCTAGACGCAGTGGGTGATGTGGATCAACGTTAGAGGGTCTGAACCCTTCAGACCTACCTTGATCATCACGAGTTTTCACGAACAAGATATGACATACGTCTTAAAGTATGTATCTTGACATGCATGTGTATTCCGCTTGCGGAATTTTTTTTTGTTTTTCCCTCTCACATGCTACGGCCTTCAAGGCCAATTCGAACTTTCAGCTCGGTGTATGATAATAAGTGTGAATGAATAATTAGGGCACTATTCAACAAAAGACATGACAAAAGGGAGATTAAAAAAATTAATGGGGACCATACTTGTTGATTTCTTAAGATCACTGTAAATTAGAGTTATAATTTATATCTACATGCATCACCAAATACGTGTAAAAAATTATTTTAACTTAATTAGTTATTAACATTTGGTAGAATGAACTTCGTCACTCGTATAATTTTACCTGGCTTGAATAGATGAATAATATAATTTTTTTTTTTTTTTTTTTTATCTCTGAATACGTATCGGATTAGTGTATAGATATTGGCATCTCAGTAAATGTCTGATTACAAAGATATGAATTTGGTTTTTGCCATAGTGTCACGTAAAAGGCAAGAAAGACAATACAGATAGCACTCCCCACTTATTTGGTGACCGAAGAAATCATACCATTAGTGTTTTAGATGGATGACTATTGTCTGGCATTTTCTATCATCTAATATAATTGCGAGGTTATGCAAAAAAAAGAATAAGCATTCCAGGCTTAAATTTTCTTATTATAGGCATATTATTAATTAATTAATTTGTAATCAAATATTTTTATATTTAGACTTTTTTTAAAGTATTTAATGTTGATTGGATTGAAAGTTATTTTCAATTTTTTTCTTTCTAGGAATATTTAATTTAATTACAATTGGTCTAAACACTATGATACGACTTTTGTTTTCCTAAAACTAAAGATACTTAATACAAATCAATTAACATTAACATATCTAAAATAAATAAACAATTTAAATTAAATCAGCTCTAATAATTAAAGAAAAATTCTTTTGAATATAAACCTGACAATCGATTGAGCTTAAAATACAAATTTCAAATTTATTCTCTGATTGAAAAGAATTGATACTTAGAATCTTAATCTATGTATAATGGAACAAAATTAGCTTTTTATTTTATTATTAGAAGCAGAAAGTTACACTTAATTTTTTTTTTCATTTAACGTATTAACAAATGGATCTAGATCCTTTCGTGTGAAAATTTACATGATCATGTCACGTGAAGAATCATAACCATACAAGGTAGATCAATGGTAATAAAAGAGGAGAAAGAAAAAATATTAAAATAAGTAATTACGAAATTATAACCGTTGATTTATCTTTATATGATTATGATTTTTCCACATAACCGTATCATTTTTTTTTTTGCAGGGAGAGAATCCATTTCCATTAACAAATACTCATTATTAAAGATCTTGTTTAAGAAATATTATCATCCGCAAAGCTGTCATGCATGGAACGATCCCTGAAACTTCGAGGAAATTACGCAAAATGAAAGTCCCCTACAAAATTGTGTAAAAAGAAAAAACAAAAACAAAAACATTAGCCACGTGTGTAAGAGTTTTCCACTCTATGCGATCCCATTGGGTGAATGACGCTGTAAGAGATCCACGCGGCAGATAATATTTTATCTCTTCCTTAATCACCAAGAAACAACACGACACAACAACAAACACAATTTACAGAGACCCTTTATAAACCCCTTTTACCTCTTCTTCACTTTTGCCCCTCAAAACATTAGACGACATTGACTAATTTATTCATCATCTTTATCTATTATCATCATCATCATAATTTCTGGTTCCATGGATGGTATAGGAGAAGACCCACTCGACTGGGAAGCTTTCCTTGACCACTTACCAGAATTTGAAATTGATGATTTTTTTTTGGAGGATACTCCTGTTGAAGTCGCCGCCGCCGATGATCCATCACCGAACCCTTCTTTATCGGAGATCGAGAACTTGCTGATGGCAGACGCCGATGTAATTCCTGGAACGCCGTCGTCGAAGTCCGACTACGACAAGCTCCTCGCGGAGATTCTCGTCGAGCCGAGCGCTGAGTCCGAAGACGGTTCAACTCCTTCCGACAAAGATAGAGTCGATGCTGCAACTCCCGAAGATGATGCCGATGAACCAGAAGTCAAGAAACTCAGAAGGTAAAAAAATAAAAAAAAGAAGAAGAAAATTCTGCCTTTTCTTCTATGCATATGATGATTACTATGTTAAGCTGCAAAACCGAACCGGTTCGAATAAATCGTTTCGATCTTAAACCGGTTCAAATTATTTGTAAATATACTTTTTTTTTTTTACACCCGTAAAGATGTTGTACAGTTTTTGTTGCTACGATTATGTTAACCTATTTTTTTATGGTAGTTAAAAGTTTTGTGTACTTGGGTGTGTGTGTTTTGGAGGATTTTTTGTTATTGTTAGGAAGCAGTGGATATTGCAGTTTGATGTTGTTGGGACCAGGATTTAATGTCAATGTATTAAGTAATGTGCTATCAAATTTAGATATATAGAATATATATTTTTTTTTTTGCTTTCACTTTTCAGTGAAGGTAGTGCATTAAAAGTTGTAACAATTGGTAAAAGAGGTTTGTTTGTTTTATCTTGTTGTTGGACGTAGTTTGATGTAGTTGAATGCAAGATATAATGATGGTCGATGAAGTAGTGTGCTCTCAAATTCATATTGATGGAATTTAATAAACGTTAATGTAGTGGTTGTTTATAAATTAATTTACGTGCATTCAAACGATTGTGTTATGAGAATTTGGATTTTGATAGAATCCAATTGGGTTTATTGATTCATATAGTGGGTTCCAGTTAGAGGTTAATGGAATAAGGCCTGGTTATTTTGTTGTGTTTGTTTTGTAAAGGTTTCATTGGAAACAGAATTTGATGGGGCTTGTCAGAATGGTTATGGTTCTAAAGGATTGTGTTCCAACATCTGATTTTCAGGCAGATGAGGAACAGGGATGCTGCTGTGAGATCAAGAGAACGGAAGAAGTCTTATGTTAAAGATCTTGAGATGAAGAGTAAGTTTTTTGAAGGGGAATGCAGAAGACTGGGGCATTTGCTCCAGTGCTGCTATGCTGAGAACCATGCTTTGCGGTTTTCCTTGCAATCGCGTGGTGCATTTGGTGCTTCCATGACCAAGCAGGAGTCTGCCGTGCTCTTGTTGGGTAAGGCTCGCAAATGGGAATATATTGCCTCTGCTTCTTTTTTATTGTCATTGCTGTTTTGTTTTAGGCATTGTAATTCAATGGCCAAAAGGCCCAAAACCGTCTGGAAGATAACGGCAACTTGGCTCGATTAATTTGGTTTTGTGATTTGGTTTTTAGGCCTAACAACTTTGGTTGTTTTCTTGAATGAATCTTGTTCAAATGCTTTACAGTTTCATCTATTGCCTTTATCAGAGCCTTATAAGTTATAACCTTATCTTCAATGACCAAAGTTGTTATCAATATATCCATGCTAACTTGTTATTAAATTTGCCACTACGGATGCCTGGATCATTCAGGGATGGTGAGCTTTTTCAAGTTGCTAAGTATTCCTTTCTTTGTCAGTCTTTTATTATCGTCATAGTTTCTTAATTGTTTGTGGACCGTATGTTCAAATCGTCTTTAGGTGTTTTAATTGATTTTATCAGAATGAAAGTCTACCTCTTTTTGTTAACATGTAGATTTTCTGTTTATGCTAAAGTTATAACATATTTATACAGATGCAAATTCCAAAAATACTCATTCAACAAGAAGATTAACTTTTATGCTGGCTAAACAGAAAATGATTTTGAGATGTATATAATGAATCTCCAAATACAATGCGGTCATCATTTGTATTTTATGAAGCTGACCTAACTGAGTTCTTGTCAATTAGATTGTTAGAGTTTAAGCTATTGATCATGTTCATGTTGCAGAATCCCTGCTGTTGGGTTCCCTGCTGCGGTTCATGGGCATCATGTGCCAATTCAGCCTACCCCTGATACTGTGGTTAACAGTAGTACTTCCAAGAGAAAACATGGAACAGAAAGGCCTAAGAAGAGTGGGTCGAAAAGGGCCGGAAAGTAAGATCTCTGATTACTTCCGCTTGCAATCATTTGTAAAGAGTAGAAGATGCCGAGCTTCAAGAACAAAGATGAAATTTGAGTTCCTCATGTTCTATAAGTTTTGAAGTGGTGCCTTATAGGTTTTTCATTAATTCCTTCTTTCTTTGTTTCTTTCTTTTTGTTTTATTATGCGTGTAGAGAGGGTCGTAATTAGAAAATATGTAAACCGAACGAGTTGGGGTTCTGTTACTATGTATTTTCAGCTGCTATGTTCTTTTTATATCGCAGGACTATAATATGCTGCTATCTTAAACGTGGAAGCTGTTTTTTGTTTTTAGCTGATTTAACGGCATTGAAACTTCATGTTTTTCTTTCTACTGTGTTAGCACGTTTGTTTTTGCTTAATTCTTTCATAGAATAGCTTGCCAACTAAAAATTCTATCTGAACATTTTGATTACTAGTTTTTAAGAACAAAATAGGCAAATCTAAACAATTGGAGAATTTGAAATTCACTGAAAGTGTTAAGTCACCCAGGTTTGGAAATCAAAATTTTCATAACTGAGTCATATATGCAAAGGATAAAGTGTTTCTGTGAAATTATAACAAAATATTCGGTTAGGTTAAGTTATATAAAATGCAGATAAATTTTCTAATTCTAAGGTTTATGAGTTAAATAGCATCTTTAAAAGATCAAAACATGAGCTTTGTCCTGATATTATTTTCATCTTATAAGATAGCACTAATCTGTGATAACAGGTTAGATGGAACTCTCACGCTTTCTTTGGTGAACTGTTTTCTTCCATTTCTGAAGCTAATTGGGGGTGGTATTCCTTTGTTAAGCATATCTAGTAGTGTGTGTGGGGCTTTCTGCGTAATAGTACATCTTTCCCCTTCTTAGAATATGTAACAGTGGTAATCTTTTGGGCTTGCCTTCATTGGCAAAACTATTTATTTATTTTATTTAATAAGCGCAACGCCGAAGTTACTGAATATTACTTTGTTTTTCAAATAATGGGTGATAAAATTAATGAGATTGATGTGAAATTGAATTATGGAGCAATTATACTGATTTTCTTTCACTGCTTATTTTCAAGGGAGAAAGAAAAACTTATACTGGTGTAAATCTTACACTCATTATTAGCCATTACTCTCGCTTATAATGATTTTAATTTATTATTCACACAATTAGTAAAGGGTGTTACTTGTTAGACTTACATTGGTGTAAGTTGGAGACCTTTTTGCTGCTTTGATTTGGAATTGCAACTTTCTAGCTAGTTACCACAGCCACTTCTGTTCAAGGAAGAACGAATTAAAGAGTCAATACGATTAAGATGGCAGTGGCTATTCAAGAGACGGTTCGTGCTGAATTTTGTTTTCTTGACGGAGACAATGAAAGCAAGTTCAAAGATGCAAAATTTAAGACACTTTGGGTGCTTTCTCAAACATTGTAGCTGTAGATTGCGAAGAGTTCAAGAATTGAGCATTTGTCTCATATTAAAGTGAATCCGTAAAGTATGATCATAAAAGTGGAATGAGACATCAATTTTAACATTTTGGATTAAAATGTAGTGTAAGACTCGTTACAGAATGTGGTTTCTTGCTAAGTCCATTAGATGCATTTTTGGACTTAAGGGTCACGGACCTTTTTTTTATTTTTTTTGAAAACAGAGGGAATATAAAAACAGAAACAGAATCTACAAATTACAAAGATGGGGGCTAGTAATGCCCATAGAGTCCCTAGCTGATAGAGAACAACACCATATTGGAGGATCAACAAAAAGATGAGTGTCCCAATCATCAAATTGATGGGCAAAAGAAGCTAGCCAGTCAGCTATCATATTACCCTCTCTGTGTGTGGGAGATGATGATGTTCCATTCTTCCTGAAGAAGATTTCGAATCCCGTTGACGATGTAATGAAGAGGATGGTTCTCCTGGCAACCTTTGTTGATAAGATTGATAGCCACCAAAGAATCTCCCTCTATCCAGACGTTGTGAAGACCTGCTCTTTTAGCTTGATCAATCCCTTCCAAGAAACCTGAGTTCTGCTGCCATGACCCAACTTACCACAGAAACCCAAAATCCACTTCCCATCTTCGTCACTGATGACTCCACCGAAGCTTGAGCTCTTCCCTGCATGAATGCAAGAGCCATCGACATTTACTTTAGTCCATCCATGATTTGGGTGTTGCCAGCAAATCTGTTGCACCATCCTCTGAGGATGAGTTAAGCCATTTGAGCATAGGAGACTTTGGGCAGTTAAAATGTGAAACACATGGTTCTTAATAGCAAAAGTAATTTCCCCCACTTGAGTAAACTTGTCCTCGAAAATTAGAGTGTTCCTTGCCTTCCAAATGTGCCAGCAAGTAATCCCAAATAAGAGGTGGCAATTCTGATCTTGATAAGTCTTTGTAGGAAATTTGAGGTTCTCATCCAACCAAATTTGGATAGATTGATTGAAAAAAGGAACGGTGCAACGTTCTATGACCCAGGCTGGACCAAAGGGATTTACTCCAGTCACAATCTCTCAGAAGGTGAATAGTAGTTTCTTCATGTAGGCGACATCTAGGGCACAACATTGAAGTTGCAAGGTTGTGAACCAGTCTCCTGACATTTGTTAAAAGAATTTCGCTTCTGGCTTGCCAAAGAAAATATTTTGATACGGTGAGGGCCATTCCATCTCCAAATAGTGTTCCAGCTGCTGTTGTTGTTGTCTTGATTAGCGTTGATGAGGAGATTGTAAGCAAACTTAATACTGAAGAGAAAGTCAAATGGAGTGAGTCCATATGGGTCTATCCTCTCCATTGAGCATAGATGGAGGGAGAATGTTGGCAATCTTATCACAAGCTGTAGTGGGAAGGAAGTTTCTAATGCAGTTCCAATTCCAGTAACCGTCAAGGGTTACAAACTTGGTAACTGACCAATTCTACACAGTGAAAGGAACGTCCATATTGACATGGGAAACCAAAGGCTCAGCATTTGGAACCCATTTTTCAACCCAGAAGTTGGTGTTCATGCCGTTCCCCACATGAATACGAGAACCTTCCATGATAGGCTGCCACCATTTGAGGATTCCCTTCCAGAGAGGAGATGTTGTTCTGGTTTATGAGAGGTTTGGAATTGTCTCCTCTCCCACACGATACTTACTTTTTAAAACTCTCACCCATAACGCCTCAGGTTGAGTGATTAGACCGTGACCAAACTTCATGATGGAGGCTTGATTGAGATGTCTCACATGTCTAATGCCAAGACCACCCGATTTTTGCTCATGCAGATATTGTCCCAGGCCGTTCCATGGATCTTCCTTTTGTTATGATTTGAGCCCCGGACAAAATTCCTTAAGCGCCTTTCAACTTCATCACAAGTTTTTGCAGCGATGATACATGTTTGCATAGCATACAAAGGTATGGAGGCCAAAACTGATTGGGCTAGTGTTGTGCGACCAGCCATGGAGAGCGTTGACTTTTTCCAGTTTGTGAGCCTATCATCAATTTTTTAGAGAATAAAATTGAATTTTGCTGGTGAAAATCTGTCATGAAGAAGGGGGATGCCCAGATATTTTCCCAGATAAGTAATTCTAGTGAAACCCATCTCCCTTGAGATTTGCTTCGCCCTCGAATGATGAACATTTTTTGAGAAAAAAACCTTGGTCTTTTCTTTATTAATTTTTTGACCGGATACCTTGCAGAAACAATCCAACACATACAGGATGAGCTGAGCTTGATCAACAGAGGCCTCGACAAACAAAAGCATATCATCTGCAAAAAAATAGGTGTGATAAAAGTGGTCCCCCTTTTCTAAGGATTATGGGTTTTCACTCATTTTTCATTACCGTATCATTAATGAGATGAGCTAATCTCTCAATGCAAAGCACAAAGAGGTAAGGGGATAAGGGATCACCTTGCCTAATGCCTCAAGATGATTTGAATTCCCTCCTTTCGCAACCATTCCAAAGGACATTCATAGTAGTAGAAGATACACACTCTATGATTAGTTGGACCGCTTGTGGAGATAAGTGCACGTCGTTTAGAGTTTGTTTAAGAAAAACCCAATCAACTCTATCATAGGCCTTCTTAAGGTCTACCTTGATAGCCATCCACCCATTTGTTCCTTTCTTGTTTCTCATAGAGTGAATGACTTCTTGAGCTATCACTATATTATCTGAGCTTTGTGTACCTCAGATGAAACTACACTGGTTGGGAAGGACACCATAGTTCATATAAGGCCTAAGACGTTAAGCCAACAATTTAGTCACTATCTTGTAGATGACATTGCACAAACTAATAGGTCTTAGTTGCTTGATAGAGGTTGGGTTGTCCACCTTAAGAATGAGGCACAGAAGTGTTTGGTTAACCTCTTTGATTTTGCAAGGGTTACTAAACACATCTTTGATAAAATTACAAACACTCTCCTTAATGACTTTCCATTGGGATTGGAAGAAAATAGTGTGCAGTCCATCAACACTAGAGGCCTTATACAGGTGCATGCTAAAAATAGTTTATCTAATTTCAATATACGAAGGGATTCTATGCAAGATCTCAAAGGATCTGCTAGTAGTTATGGGGAAACAGCCAGAGAGAGGAAAATTGGATGGGGTAGTATCGCTTGAATAAAGTTGCTCAAAAAAATTGACAGCCATTTCCTTCACCATCTCAGGCTCTATAATCCAAGAACCATTATCATCATGTTGTTATTAGATAAACTTAAATGTACGGTTTTTAGATTAATGGGTCTCTAGAAGTTTTATGTTTAGGAATTAATGTTGGTTAAGTGTTATGGGGGTTTGGTTTTGATATTTGTTAAATGGCTGTAAGTTTTCTACGGTTTATGTTTTATTGCGTTTAATAGCTTTTAATAGGTGTTTAAGTTATTTTTAGCAAGCTACCATATAAGGAGATGTAATCGTCATAGAAAGTACAGAGCAAGAAAAGAGAGTTTGATAATAAAGAAAAACTTTCGTAGATTATTCGTTTGGTTGTCTCTTGCATCTGTGTGTTGATACCTTAACAAATTGGTATCAGAGCTATGGAAAGGGGGAGTGATATGGCACTACCTAAGTTGACGAAGGAGAACTACGAGAATTGGTGCATCCAGATGAAGGCTCTTCTCGGATCCCAGGACGCTTGGGAGAATGTTCAAGCAGGTTTTGTAGAACCACAGGACACTGGAGGCTATTCGGCGGCTCAAACTAAAACGTTGAAAGAGACGCGTGCAAAGGACAAGCTGGCGTTATTCATGCTCTTCCGAGCTGTGGACGAATCCGGGTTCGAGAAGATAGCAAATTGTGAGACCTCAAAGGCAGCCTGGGACACCTTGGCAAATGTCTATAGAGGAGCTGACCGGGTTAAACAAGTCCGGCTTCAAACCCTTCGTGCCGA